ACGATGGGGGCCTTCTCGTAGAAGCGGCTAGCGGGAAGCTCAGTGGTGTAAGCGCTGACGATGGGGGTCTTCTCCTCGTAGATGCGGCTGCCGACTGGGAGCTCAGAGGGCAAAGCGCTGACGATAGGGGCCTTCTCGTAGATGTGGCTGCCGGCGGGGAGCTCTTCGGAGAAAGATCGGGCGAAGCGGGGAGAAAAACGAATGGACCGCTCGTTGTAGGCGGTGGCGGAGGCCACGGTGAGCAGGACGGCGACGATGAACAGCTTCATGATGGTGGTGGGTGTGGTGCTCCCGTTGCCAGCAGACGAATGTGCCGTCCAGGTCCGCTCCGGTGCTCTTATAGTGCCGTAGTCGGATAAGAGCAGTGCTGCTGTGCTGCATCCCCGGGGCACACAGGGTCGTTGCTCGTCTGCTATCGCGCAGACTTCCTAATGGGCTATGGAATGGAGGGTGTGCTGGGGACGGCCACCCCGATGTGGGCCGCTTTAGCTCGCGGTGTCCCCTTGAGCGCCCCGGGGTACCCCCAGGCTACTCGTCCATAACTCTGTTCCTACTCGCGCTTTCGCAGGCTCTCCTGGACGACCCCCTGTACATCGGGCTGCGCCAGAAGCGAGTGACCGGCGCCGCGTACGACGAGTTCATCGAGGAGTTCATGCGCGCAGTGGTGCGGCGCTTCGGCCAGACCACCCTGATCCAGTTCGAGGACTTTGGCAACCACAACGCCTTCCGTCTGCTCGAGAAGTACCGCGACCAGTACTGCACCTTCAACGACGACATCCAGGGCACCGCCAGCGTGGCCGTCGCCGGCATCCTCGCCTCCCTGCGCGTCACCAACACCCGCCTCTCGGACAACGTGCTGCTGTTCCAGGGCGCCGGCGAGGCGTCGCTCGGCATCGCCAGCCTCTGCGTCATGGCCATGATGAACGAGGGCACCTCGGAGGCCGCGGCGCTCAAGCGCATCTGGCTCGTCGACTCGCGGGGGCTGATCGTCAAGAACCGTCCCGAGGGCGGCGTGACGGGCGAGAAGGTGCGCTTCGCGCAGGACCACGCGCCCGTCAAGACCCTCACCGAGGCCGTCAAGACCGTCAAGCCCTCCATCCTGATCGGGGCCGCCGCCATCGGAGGCGCCTTCACGCCCGAGATCCTGCAGACCATGGCCGCCAACAACAAGAAGCCCATCGTGTTCGCGCTCAGCAACCCCACCAGCAAGGCGGAGTGCACCGCGGAAGACGTGAGTGCCGCACCGACCTGCCGTCAGCTGCAAGGCCCCTGCCCTTCGGACGGCTGTCACTGACGCGTTCTTCTTGTGTTTCTCCTGCAGGCCTACAAGCACACCAACGGCACGGTGGTGTTCGCCAGCGGCTCCCCGTTCCCTCCCGTGACCTACAACGGCAAGACCTTCCACCCCGGCCAGGGCAACAACGCCTACATCTTCCCCGGCGTCGCCCTCGGCGTGATCTGCGCCGGCGTCAAGCACATCTCCGATGAGATCTTCTTCCTGGCCGCCCAGGTAAGCGATGTCCCCCGCCTCTCGCTCAGCACCTCGACCACGTCCTTCGTCCGCGCGCTGAACGACGCATGTTCTCTCCCCCCTCCAGACCCTGGCCAACCTCGTCTCCCAAAAGGACTTGGACTCCGGCAGCCTGTACCCGCCTCTGGAGGACATCCAGCACTGCTCCTCCGTGATCGCGGAGGCGGTCGCCGAGTACGCCTACAAGAACGGTAAGGCGTCCGCGCTGCACTCGGGTTGGGCCTCTCGCTTGTAGTCTGGAGCAGTATAAAGGGCAAATCGCGACGGTAATCATTGGGATTTCAACAATCATATTTTCATAGATTCATTTCCTAAAACAAACTACATTTTTCAGTTTCAATGTCGCCATGGGGAGAAAAATAATTTGCTGGTGCTTTTATTTTATACCGCTATCGTTGGCGATCCATCTTTAACGCAGAATTTTATCGATCAATTATTATTATTAACACTCGTTTTGGTGTAAGTCAAGTCATGTGTGTCCGTCCATTCACATCACCAATGGTTTTGCATGCTCCGCCATCTCTCGTGGGTCCTACAGGTACCGCAAGCACGTACCCCAAGCCCGCGGACATCAAGGCGTACGTCAAGTCGCAGCAGTACGACCACAGCTACTCGTCGGCGCTGCCCGCCCTGTACGCGTGGCCCGACGCGTAGAGGCTTCATCAGAGGCTCCATCATCCAGGTGATCTCATCCGTCCACTCATTTCCGCTTTATACGCTGCTGGTTGTCTCACCGGGCTTCAATAATGTCTCAGTGGTGGAATCGCCCTCACCCGCCGCGGTGCGCATTTTTGTCACAACCCATTTCAAATATCAACCAATTTATCTCCAAATACGTCGCGCCGGCCAGTGTGGTTGCCGCACAAGCGCGGGGAACTTTGTATCGGAGCTCGTCGGGGGCGGGTCGGCGGCAGGGGGGTCGGAAAATGGAATCGACAAGGGCCACAGAATTGGCAATCGTCATCGTTTGATGTCCTCAGGGCCGCTGTGAAAGCAGTGCTTGTGCTTTCAAAGCTCTGCGAGGCACTTCCATCAATCGCGATTGCTTCGGCTCTCCCCGCCCTTCGGCGCCGAACGGCCGAGGGAGAGGGAGAGAGAGAGAGAGAGAGTGGCTGGGG